TTTTTTTTTATTTTAATTCTATATAATTTCAAGATTAAAATAAAAAAAATTTTAACAATTTTGATTAAATAGTTGTTAAGATATTTTAATTTAAAAATTAAAAAAAAATTTACTAAAAATGATTTGTCTTTTTTCTATTGACTCACCCCACGTGATTAAACCTGAACAAGAAGCAATTTAGTGCTGTGATCAGGCCAAGACAAAACGAAAACAATATGAAACAAGGCACAGACGAAAACAAAGTATGAGACAAAATATAAGATAAAATATTTGAATGGTAATTTGTAGTAGCGGCATGATCACTAGAAGACCACTTAATATAAAATTAAGTGCTGTTTAACTTTATTGCCATAAATTTACTGAATTTCATCCTCTTTAAAAAAAAAAAAAAAAAAAAAATTATTCAAGAGGTTTTAATATAGCCAAGAGAAAAAAGTATGCCCAGCTTCAGAAATACAACAATAAAAGAAAGAAAGTAGTACAGAAAAGGCAGAAAAAAGTGAATATGTTAGATAAAAAGGATGTGAATAATGGTGAGGAAAGCTATTCAGAGGAGGAAAGCTATTTAGAAAAAGAAAGCAACCAGGATGAAAAAACTGAAGAAATAATTGATAAGGAAGAAGGGATACGAATACGATTATTTACTATACCTCTTACATGGATGAAAAAAAAAGAAATAAGGACAGTAAGAGGTATGCCAAAATCCACCTATTATCATAAGTTTGGTGTCTCCGGACACTTACCATTGCCGCTAAAGGAACTCAAAAAATCACCAGTTTTTTTGGGTCTTTATCCATATTACCAATACATTTAGCATTATAGTTAGTATGCAATAATAATGACAAAAGTAATAATAATTATGAGGAAGCTAGTTATGAGCTTGGTGATATAATTGCCCAACTTCAAAAAAACCTTCTAAAAAATGAAAAAACATTTAATGCTTTTGAATATAATGAACGACGAGCTATCTATGAATATTTTACAAGGTTATATGATGGTTATAGAAAGTTAAAAGCCAGCAAGAATGCAGCAAAAATAGTTTATATTAATCTGAATCTATATAAATATAAAAGAATTTGCTTTCTTGATAATTTTTATTCACATCATGAATCGTTTTCATTTTCTTACCATGGCAAATATCAAAAATGCAAACGATTAGTTGACAGTGAAGACATAGCATCAAAATGTAGACAATGGATACGAGAAGAATCAGGTGTAAATGGTGTTAGTCCATCTAAATTTAAACAGTATGTGGATTCTTCAATTTTACCTGAGTATACAGGAGGGACCAAAAAGGCTATTAGTCTAAGAACAGCTAGAAGATAGTTAATTGTTTTAGGATATCAATTTAAAAAACACCAGAAGGGTATATACTTTGATGGACACGAAAGAAGAGATATTGTTAATATAGGAATAGGTTTTTAGAAAAAATAAAAATATTAAAGCAATGAATAGCAACATATAAAGGAGAAAAAATGGAACCGATTCCACCAGTACTTGGAATAGAGAAACAAGAACTGATTTTTGTCACTTATGATGAGTATATTTTTTATGCAAATGATATGAAAAGAGGGATCTAGATATGCAACAGGATGATGCCTTTGCATAAGAAAGGGAATAGTAAATCGATTATGGTAAGTGAATTTGTGTTGGAGGTATGTGGAAGGCTACGATTAAATAAGGATGAAAAAAAAAGCCATCCTAACATTTCTGCAGAAGCACACTGTTATCTTAAACCCAGTAAAAATGAGAAAAATTACTGGATAATCGAATATTTGTTAAAACAAATTAAAGAAAATGCCATCCCTATTTTTGAGACGAAATTTCCTGATGCAACAGCTGTTTTCGCCTTCAATAACAGTATGAATCATGCAGCATTTGCAAATGATGCCCTTATAGAGCAAAGAATGAATAAAGGTCCTGGAAAGAAACAAAGTATAATGAGACCAACAACTTTCATTGATATTAATGGCCAAGTAAAAGTGTAAAAAATAGTATTCAAACAGAATTACTCTAATCCCAATATGAGAGGAAAGCCAAAAGGAATTAAACGTGTATTAAAAGAAAGAGGCTTTTAAAAGATGAGTTAAATTTAGACTGCTTAATGTGTAAACAAAAGATAGATTTGGGTCAAGTCGATTGTTGCTTAAGGAAAATTATGGCCTCTTAACTAGACTTTGTTGCCCAGAAGTCTGCTATTGTAGAATTAATTGAAGGTGCTAGCTATATCTATATTTTTTATCTGAAGTTTCATTGTAAACTTAATTTTATCAAAATATATTGGGGTAGATAAGAGATATGCAAGAGATCACTACAATTATACATGGACAGGCTTACAAGAAATGGTTCCAAAGGTTTTTAATTCAGTAGATGTCATTACATTTAGGAAATTTGCTCAAAAATTATAGAGGTATATGGAGTTATACCATGGGTGATTAATCGAAAAATTAGCAAAATATACATGCAAGAAATTTAAATCTCACAGGAGAGTTCCTAAAAATAAATTGGCTTTATTTATACAAGAAAATAAAGAAATATATTAATAAATAAAGTTAAATAAAATTAGTGTGATTAAAAAAAAAAAGAATAAATAATACTTAATGTTTTAAAAAAATATGATTATGCTTTGCAAAATTGGATGACCTCTATGATTAAATGATTGTAATTGTAGTTGTAATTGATAAAGCCACTAATTTATTATAAATATTGAATTAACATACTCAGATTGGTCGACTTTAGTAATTGTAATTGCAATTACAATTATTTAATCATAATGATAATAGTCACACAATTTTGCAAAGTGCAAAAATGCAATAAATAAATTAATGTAATTAAAAAAAACAATTAAATGGATAAATTGTATAAATTGTTGCGGTTTGCATAATTTTGTGATCCTATGATAAATTTTCTTGATGATTAAATGATTGTGATTGCGATCATAATTGCTAAAGCTAGCTAGTTTTAGCAATCACAATCAATCATCAAGAAAATTAATCATAGGGGTCACAAAATTATACAAACCCGCAATAAATTAATAGTTGATGCAAAATTAAAATCTGGGAGGAATACTCAAGTTCACCATGGCAAACTAATCATAGTTAATTAAGCTCACCACAATGAAAAATTAATTTGGAATTCGAAAACTTTTTAGAGCTGCGACACTTTTAGGAGTTTGGAGTTAGTTTCATTTTTTATAAGAAAAATAAACCCGATTCAAATCATACTGGGTTATGTGACTTGGTTTTATTTGAGCAAAAATCGATTTTTTGTGCAATTTGAAATATTTTTAAATTTTATGACAAAATGGGACAAAGTCACATGATTTCCACTTTTAGGTGTCCCAAACTATAGTATAATTAATTAACCAGAAAGAGAAAGAGAAAAAAAAAGCACGATTGATTAATATCATATTAAATTAATTGTCAGTGTTTGGTTATTGAGAACTGAGTTATAATATAACAAACAAAATTCAAAGATTTTATACCAGAAATTTATGACTTTAGCAAGACATTATGGCTTTCTTAACGCATCAGCTACTCTTCTGTTTCTTAACTAGTGTATTGTATATGCAAATTTTTTAAAGATTAATGTTTATATAATGAAGAATAAACACAGTTTAATATTACATAACTTAAATTTAGAGATTGGAATTAGTTTAGCCGATTAAAATTCTAACCAACTAACCCAATTCTAATTTTTAATTCAAGTTTTGAAAAGCAAAGAATCAATCGTTTTGTGTCTATATATATATACATTCTTTAGTAGTACAAGCCTAACAAAGAAATTTGAAATAATAAGATCTTGTGTAATAAATAAACATTAATGCAATACCGGTATTTTAGCTATAGAATTTTATATATTATCTTAAGTTTTAACTAATCAGCATTTTTACCCTAATATTAGATTTTAGTTATAAGTATATATACAATATACAAGTGTTCTGAACCTAACTGTGATAAATACTTTAGCTGTCATTCTTCTTATTACAACCATATAAAAATCCACAATAATATAATTGAAAAACTTCTTCAAGAAGCTACAATAGAAAGGAGAAGTAATATATTAAGAAATGTGCAGCAAGCTAATCAATGGGATGATGATTAACTAGAAGTTGAAATTGATGACTTTGTATTAGGTTTTAGAGGAGAAATGAAAAGTAGAGAAGATATTAAACAAGAATTTGAAGACTATATAGATAATGAAATAGACAAAATAGCAAATAGTTTAGAGTCTAGTTATAGCGAAGAAAGAAGAGATAGAAATAATGAAATAGATAATAAAATAAATAATGAAGCAGAAGCAGATAATAGAAATAATAAAATAGATAATGAAATAAACGATGAAGCAGAAGCAGATAATAGAAATAATAAAATAGATAATAAAATAAACAATAAAGCAGAAGCAGATAATAGAAATAATGAAATAAATAATGAAATAGACGGTAAAGCAAAATTTGAAAAAGATGAAATAGATGAAATAAAAAAAGTACATATTGTATATAGTATGTATAACTATATTAGAGTTGTGGGTGAAGCTAAGTTTGAGTTTACTATAGTTTTAGTCTAAGTTTATTTGTTATTGATTTCACTATATTCAACAAATTTTCACTAGTTTCACTGCAACTTCAAAGTTTTACTAGTTTTCACTTGCAACTTCAAAATTTTACCAGTTTTGTCTACAACTCTAATATATATATATAATATATATATATATATATATATTTATATATGTACTGTATATATTAATATATTTTTAAGGGCTCAATATTGATATAACATAACATTATAATTATTCACATATGTATGTAGATGAATATTGTGGAATGTTAATTGTTTGAGGTTGAACCTTCATTAGTTTTTAAATCTCTTAATATTAAATCAATAAATACTGAGAATATATCAAATTTTCCAAGTGAAGAATTTGTTAACTTTATAAAATTAATTGTCAAATAGAACTTGTCTGATACATGCGGTGGTAAAATACTTCATTTTTTAAATAAAGTATCACGTGATGATATAATCATACCTATCTCAATTCAACAAGAAAAACAATTCTTGGATAAAATTATAGTTTTGCATATTTCTTTTAAGAAAGTACCAATAGTAGAATATGAAGAAGAAATATACTATTTAAATTATATCTGATTTTTGATAGTATTAAGAAATTATTAAGCAATAAGGATATACTTAATCATTGTGTTTTTGAATTTATATCATTGTACTATAAAAAACAATGAATATATAATGAATAGTTCACTGGAGAATGGTGGGAAAAAGTACAAAAAACAATTCCTAGCCAAGTAAATATTCTATTAATAATATTGTACTCTGATACAACTATATGTGATTAGCTTAGAAAAACAAACAAACACCCTATTTATAGGGTTCCGAAAGTTCAGTTCAGTTCAAATAAGTTCAGTTCAGTTTAATTGAACCTGAACTGAACTGAACTGAACTTTCTAATATTGAATTTGAACTGAACTTGAACTGAACTTAAACTGAACTGAACTGAACTTGAATATAACAAAAGTTCAGTTCAATGTTCAGTTCAAAGTTTATGAACATGTTCAGTTCAGTTCAAAGTTTATATATATAACAAAATAACTTTAGAATACTAAGTTAGAATTCATTAGT